ATGGCTTCAAAACACGATCCGAGTAATTACACAATGAGCGAGCCAGAGGCCGAGACAACAGCAACAATTCCCTCTCATCGAGCCATTGGCGAACCTTTGCCGGAATGGTCCTCGGCAATTCGTTCGTGGGGATCTACATGGCTTGTCTATCAATACGGTTTCGGTGCGGCATTTGGGATCCTTGCGCTTTTGACTCTAATATTTCTCCTGAGGAGTCTGAAAATCAACAGAGCCACAAGACCGAAGAAAGCAGCCCTTCATGTTCTTGTACTGCTGTTTTTGTTCGGTTTATCTCGATCTTTATTCTTGAGCGTCGACGCTTACAGTACAAAAATGATATTTCCCCAAACGCTTTCACACATTTTGTGGAGTCTGGGCAACCCTTGTATTGTCACCGCATACGTACTTGTTTTCTTAGTACTGAAGAATATATTCTTCATGAAAGAAAGATTTAAAAAATGGTACACCACAAGGAACATTGCTTTCGTCACAATCCCTTACTTCACCCTTGTTTTTGTCACCGAATTGGTCGTCCATTACATTCCAAATTTTATTGGTTTGACTTTCACCTGTCAGATGGCATTTGTAGTTTTAAGCTTCATCGCGACAACATTTTATTCAATCATTGCTTTTATGCTTTGGAAAAACCTCAAAGGGAAACAAAGCTGCAAAGGAAAAGAGAGAAGACATCAGCTCGCCTGGGTTGACAAAAACAAAGCACATGGTCAACGTACGCTGAGTTTGTTAAAACTTTGCCTCGCTACAGTTTTGGGAGGATTTTCTCTTAGTGCGCTTCAAATTTACTCCATGAGTGGTGTCTATGGGGTTTTTTCAAAAGCTAGCTACGTTGAAGCTTGGCCGTGGTTGATTTTCAACTATGCTATGAGAGCTCTGGAGTGGTACCTTGCATTTTTGCTATATTTTGCGACCACGAGAGGAAGTCGAAATACCGGAGGACAACGCACGTCTTTTTCTATCACTTTGGACATCCACAACCTGAAACCAATCCCTGGCAGTCGAAAACCTAGCCGAAAGCTTTCTTTGCTAAATGCACATCCAAGAACAGTTGCTCATGCTGATGTATTTTAAGGATTAATTAGGGTTTAACTACTTTATTTTCAGTCAAACCCGTCGTATTGACAAAATTATTTTTATTTGAACTACTTTGAAATTTGTTCAGTTTCGTGTTTATCCTCTCTTGGTATTGTTTAGTTATTCGTGGTCTTATCAGTCTAAAATCTGCAGGGCATGTTATGATTCGCCGAATCGTAACTAGGAAAGGTTAATAGATCACAAAGAAAAAGCAAGATTAATTCTTCAGTTGTGGTTCGATCATTTGACGTTGTTATTTTTCAGGGAAAGCAGAAAGAAATGTATAGTAATACGTAGGCTGAAAACGGGCACGAACAAAGTTGATCAATCACACAGTTTTTTCTTGGGCCGTTCTCAAATCTGTCGTATCATGATATAGAGTGAGAACATTATTTATTTAAATCAGGGTAACTTATTCAGGAAAAGGAAAAACTGCTTTCGAAACATATTGTCTGAACATGATTAAATTAAGAACGAAAGTTATACTACAAAGACTGTAAAGATTTTTAGGTACACCCTAAAGTTAATCTTAAGTTAAAGTTAGCCTGTTACATGCAATGAATAAGGAAATAAAATCAGTAGTATGACTGAGATGAGGAGCTTAAGCGACGTCTACAGCGACGTCTGCAGTGAAAATGTTAATAAAGGTATGAGCAGATTGCGTGTGCGTTTATTTAATTATACATATAGCCTGCCTCAATTTTTCAAATGTAGGCGAATCCTCCAGAAGTTGAATTTATAAGGACCTAGCCTGCCTTGTGTAAGGACGTCGCCTCCTCCCCCAGGAATGAAAATCCTCTCCCGAGTTTTTCCTGAGGGAGGAGGGGACGTCTGCACACAGGCTATAAGGACCGTGTGTCAGAACTGAACGAGAAAGGAAAATTCGTCGACGCCGGTGCCAGTGTTCATACCCACCGCGCAGTCCTGAAGTGACGGCAAGGACAATGTAGCAAGAAATTCACTGGAAATTAAGTGTGTTAGCACGTGTAGAGTTTTTTGTTTTGCAAATAAAAAACCCATCGCTGTATTTTGACGTGTTTCCCGGTTGCCGTCTGCTACGGCTCCCAGTAGAAACTCAATTAAGGCTATTTCATCAAGCAAGTTTTCCTCGCTCGAGTTAGTGGGGCTTCAACATTTTGTTGGGAGAAAGAAAGAAATTTTAAAAAACTCATGAAGGCCTCGAAAATGAAAAAACCATGTTACGTTTTTATCACGTACATCACAAAACAGACTAACAGAAGAGTGTAATAAGAAGCAACCGCTCTTTTCATGTAACTTTATTTGCCACGCAGTGGCATGCTGTCATTGCACTAGCAAGTTCAGAGGTTTTCAGTGTTCTTGCATTTTACTAGCAGGTGTATGCGCACGTGAGAAACGCCCAATTTTTCATGCTATTTTCAGTCATATCGATAGTTCATCTTACAAGACAAACGTTCACAATAAGAAAAACGGAGATGTTTCATTGTTTTGCACTTTATGTAAACAGCAGAACGTGAGATTGTTACAAACATTTGAAGTTTTAATTAATTTCTGCTACGCGATATCTTTGTAAATAATTGCTTTTTTGCCTTAAGGTAATATAATAATAGAAGCATAACATTCCGCGATAAACTTTTAACCTTAAGTGTGAAAAAGATGTTTTGCTCTGCATCAGACGCCTATATAAAGGTGCATCCTTGCAGATCTATAGAATGGTGGGCCAAAATAAAAATCAAGATTATTGCCTTAGAATTAGCTTACGGTCATAGACCTGACGGTGAATAGAGTTAAACCCCAATATAATTACGACTATATCTAGCATCACGGTTTTTTTTAGATAATGCGACTTTTTGAGGAAAAAACACGCTTTCGGGTTTATCAACGTAAACAAGTGACAAAACTGAAGCCGCAATTTTCGCCAGTACATAGCAGTCTATTTTGTTTTATAACTTGACTTAACTTTTAGAATCAATAAAGACTATTCCTTGAATTGTTTGTTGTTAGGAAAAATGATCCAAACTTCCTCTTCAACGTGTCACCTAAAAGGAACATGAGACCGCGATCACCTCGGTCGCTATCGATTTTTGTATGCGCTTGAGCAGCACGTGGATCCAAAACGAAGATGGCGGCCGGAGGAGCAGAAGAACACTTTGCAAAGAAGTTGGCAAATAACGAGAAGAAAATCCGAGATAGAGCCGTAAACAAGCTTCGTGCTTGGATAAGAAGCCGACCAAAGGATGGCCCAGGTAAACTGGTGTATTGAAAAAAATTGCTTACTTTAGGCCAAGGAGCAATGATTGATTAAGCAGTAAGATTTGTTGTAATAATTTCATGCACTGCTTGTTTATTGCCTTTGAAGTTGCCTCTGGACTCGCTGCTTTTCTTGTTTTTAAGGTTTTGGTGAGCTAGATTTAATGAAAGTGTGGAAGGGGCTTTTTTACTGTATGTGGATGTCAGATAAACCTCTAATCCAGGTACTGAGCTGTTTACTGTTATCACAGGAATATGTATTGCAGTTTGGCCTAGAAATGATTTTGTTCTGCACCGTTTCAGACCTTCCAACCCCCTAAACCATGTAAATCTGGAGTGTTTGAAAAAAAGCTCCCAAAAACCTGGAGATTTCCAAAATATGTGTCAAATAAAACCAAAAAGGCAGATTATTTTTGTCAGGGTATTCTTTACCCAATTAGTGGTCTCTATTGTACTTTCTTGTTGCTGGTTTGGTAGTGATGAGAAGATTCTGTTTTACTATCCAGGTTGATAGGATGGCCAGTAGCCAAGAAAGTATGTTTAATATATGGCTTTCCCACAGACCTTAGCAAACCTATGTAAGGTTGGAATTAGACTCAGGTCAGGCGTCCGCTCAAAATTAGATGGATACAATTATTTCATTGTGAAGATGGTTTTTTTTTAAATTACACAGTTCTTACCAGAATTGTCTTGCAATTGTAAGATTTTTTGATTCACTGTGAGATTTGGAGGATAAATCCTGAGACCATGAGTTGACTACCCAAACTATGAGTCTTGTGGTCAAACTGTGATAGTTGAAAGGTTTAGGAAGTCTGCCGTTTTAGTGTTCTTACCTGCTTGCAGCCTTGCGCGGCAACCTTGTTCCCAAGATTTCCTCCTCCATGTACCTGTGGCTTGCTCCATAGGGACAGTTGGGATAGAACCCTGGGGATGAGATTGTCGTGAGGGGTTCTTCAGGTGGATACTTCAGAGAATTCGATGAAAGGGTAAGAAAACCTATCCTTTAAGTATCTGAAAGGGCCTGTGATTAAAAAAGGGCTATATCATTTTAAATTTATATAGTAAATGTTAAACAATGATGACAAGAAGACTTCCTTTTTGCAACTTATAGGCAGGGTTCCACTGTAGGTATGTCATTTAAAGGCTTACTATTTTTCAATTAAAGGTAAATGAAGGAGGCACATTTCTGTTAAAAATGGTATATAAAAGGGTTGTTGGGTAGCCCTCCTCACCCTGGTAGAAGTTCCCACAAAAAATATGAAATTGTGCATTTAAAGAAGTGTATTATTTAGATTACTATTTTCAGCCTTTATGTATTCCTTTCATTGCAGGAGGAACTTGCTTTTAATATCTCTCAGCTTGTTCTGAGCTTTAGGAATGAGCAATCAGGTATTTGAAAAACAATCACATTGTTCAAATTGTTGTCCATTTTCAATGTAGTCTTAATAAACTTGCTTCAAATAAGCTAGCTAACTTTCATTGCTTGTTTTGGAACTGTAATCTTGTTAAGTTAAACAGTTTTTCTAGTATGAATTAATGTTAAATAGAATACCTTTGCATCAGAAAATTCACCTACATTTGCATTATGTTGGAGTTTTGCTGTTAAAATTAGTGGTCTAATTTAAACATTCATAAGGGTTATTTGGAACATTAAAAATCACAAAATAATTTCTTTTGTTGATTTTTAGCAAAATTTATCATTTGTTTGATTATTTCATTTTTATCAGCTGTTTTGTTTATCAAAACATTTTTCAAAACAATGGAAAGGGAATGGCATGGAATAGACAGACTTAGACTGGACAAGTTTTATTTGGTACGTTTTTCTGTATAATACGTTCAACTTATAATGGAAAGCTCTTTTAAATGGACACCTCTCTTTGGCTGGGGTCTTGAAGTTCTCAGATGCCTCCAGGGTTGTCACTAAGATTTCAGGTTGCCAGGTAAATACAACAAGTAGGCGGGGAATCAAACAGCTGGGGATTTCTTTTGGTTCTATTTTTCTTCTTTTTTCCAAAAAAAGTAGCCGGGGGCCACTCTCTTAGTAGCCGGGGAAAATCCCCGGCCCCCGGCTCTTGATGACAACCCTGTGCCTCTGACAATATTGGTGTAATATTTTGATCAGCCAACTTTAGTATTAAAAAGTAAATTATATTGTGAGCCCAGTTGATGCACTGTTAGTTGCTAAGATAACAATGCCCTCCTAACACTCAGTTCTCTACTAAAAGTCATGCTCTTGTTTGCAGCTGATTCGTTTCCTTGTGAAAGGAACTTTTAATTTTCTCAAGAAAACTGACTGGGAAGACAGGTACCAACATGGTGTACATCACTATTGTGCTTTTGCATAAACCAAGTAAGGGAGTTCTTTCAAATAAACAACTTTGTCTCGTACTGTTTTATTGTTGTAGGTGGGTCATGGAGGTGAGCAGCATTTTTCATGAAGAGCCTTTGAATCCTACGAGTCAAGCGGTATGTGTATTTTAAGATTTCTATGACATTATTACAAGTGTGATCTTTATTATTATTATTATTGTAATTATTACTACTACATGATCTTCTAGGTTCCTGACGGCATAAGATTCCATACAGTGGCTGTGTACTTGGTTGAACTTAAGAGTGTTGCTAATGACCAGGTGAAAAAGTCTTTTGAGTGCTCCATAAAAATGTTGACAGCTCTAATTACTTTAATTTTAGGTACTCATGCTCTGTAGAGAAAAGAACACAAGAAAACTTCTGATGTATGAACAACCCCAAAGACAAAAAAGTGTAAAAATTATGAAAATGTTCACTTAAATGTGGGATATCATAGTTGGGACAAGGACATAGTATACTCCACAAAATATTTTTGCAGAGATGCCAACCTCTGGAAATCTAAAATCTGGAGACTCTTTGCTCTTTTTCCTGCTCTTTTTTGCTTCCCTCCCCATTTGTATCCTTTGCTAAGCATTCACTAGGTTTCATATTGGTGGGAAAAGTTTCTGCAAATACCCTGAGGACTGTGAAATTATTTTGAAAGGAAGTATGGGTGGATAGTGGATCCAGATTTTCATTGTTATACTACTACATGAGAAATTTCTGTAATTTGATTGGCTTACAGCAGTGGTATTTCAGCTTAATTTGAAATACCTACTTGTGAAAATTACAAACCTTCTAAGGGTAGTAGTATAAACAATTAATAGCATCATTTGTACGTGATATTTGGCATAATTACCACTCGTGATATTTCGAAATTGTCTCAAATTACGTCAAACAATTTTGAAAATTATATCACTTGTAGTATTTATGCAAAATATCACTACAAATCATGCTATTGCCTATACTAATTTTCTGGTCAACATTATGTGGTTTTTTGCTTTTTTTCTCTGGCTTGTTTGACAAAATTAGGCACATTCAGTTATTGTTAGAAAAATCATTTCCCCCTGCACAAGTTAGGTTTCAAAGTCATCCATGACAGTTCAAAATAATATGAATCATTACACATAATTCAAGGGATGAGGATCCCATTGGGTATAGTTTAGGAGTGAATCAATGAGTTAATGTTTTGGAATGCTTTTAAACATTAAAGCTTGCAGGATTTAGAAATAACTTGTCTGTAAAACTGAAATTTTTAACATAATGTTTTCTTGTTTTCAGGTCAGCTCTGATGTGTTGCACAAGCTTTTGGATCCACTGTTTCTTCTTGCAGCACATTCAAAAAAGTAAAAAATTATGATAAGTAAAGTGGAGTTTCACTTGTTCAGACATTTTTAATCTAGCCAGTGAACACCACCACCTCATGTGGCTCCCCACCGCTTTGGACATTATTGTTATGAGAGGGACATTTGCATTTTGAACTTTAAATGCCCATACTTGTGACATGAATCTGTCCAGAATATGGCAGGAGCACTCCTTACTTGAATTTAAAATGCTCTTGAATGCAAAGTAAAAAGTTTCAAGTTTTCAAGTGGCAGACAAAAGATAGGAGATCGTACAATGTTTCTTGTTTACTTAGGAAAACCTCCTATTTTCCATCTAATAGTGTAATAGGGTATTGTCATCAAACTGCCCTTTTTTTACACAGCAGTTATTAGTCAGCAAAACTAGGGCTTGCTTTTAGCTGAGCTCCTGTGTATGCCACAGCTGTCTAGTGAGAAAATTGTAGCCAATGTTGCTGGACAAATCTTCAGTTGGAAATAATAAAAGTGTCGATGTAAAAGACATCATACATCTCTCGCATAGTTATTTAATGATCTTTCTTTCTGTAGTAAAACTGTCACCAACGCAGTTAAAAAAAGTTTGTTTGAGGAACTTTTTGTAAGTGATGCAGATGAAGCAGACAAGAGTGAAGGAAATTTAAAGAACAAGGTTTGTAAAGGCTGCTATGTACTATCTCAGTGTTCTCTCCAGGATTTTTATATGGGGAGCTCCAGGACCCCTTCCATAGGTACCCTTGACTAGGGGCGCCGGAGGAATGTACAGTGTAAGGGGATCAAAGTAATCTGTATATGACAATGATACAGCATGGCTCTCAGAAAAACTTGAATTCAAGCACGTCCTTTGGGCAAGCAGCTGTCACATTGCTTGTAAACCGAAGGCAACTTCTTGTTTGTCTTGGGCAGCATTCACAAGGAACCGGCACTTTGTCCACAGGGAACTGTTCAATAGTTTTGCGCTGTTCACACGGAACTGTCAAACCGTTGTTTTTCCAAGCAAAGCAAGTAATAACACGACTCGTAAATCCGTGTTCGCAATATCTTCTCTTTTTGCAGCTGAGTAACAGCACATCCATGTGACCACGCCTTTGCTGTACAAAAATTTAGCCAGTGACGGTGTTCACACCTTGCCACTCAAATTTTTTACTGTAGCAGGCAAAACTTTGACATCAATTTTAGTGTTCAAATTTTTGAATGGTTGTAGCCATTCCAATTTTTGTACGGTTAGCATGGTCCTATGTGAAGAGAGTACCTAACCATACGAATTTTCAACTGGTTGAAAATTTGACGGGTACCATGTGAATGCTGCCTTAGTTAATGATTTTGTTAGAGGATGACTGGCCTGGACCCTTGCCCAAGAGTGATCAACATCAATTTTCTCCTCAAACTATCAATACATAATGTAAAGAAAAAGTTATGAGAATGACTAAAATGATCACCTTAAGGAAAATGCATTGATCTTTTAACAAATTCTCTCAACTAGTTTTTCAAGGAAACATATAGAGATCAGTACGGAGAATTTCTAAGTGGATATTGGGGCTTAAGGGATTAAAAAGCAACTTGCCCAGCAAGAGAATGTGCTTGTCCCAGACTACCAGACTGGACTTTGTTCAAGCCCTGTACACAATGCACTGTACTGTCATTGACAACCCAGAAAAATGCCAGATGCTTAGTTACATGTACTTTTCCCATCTCCCCACTCACTTTAAAAATTACTGACATCCCTGTTCCTTAATGTATCAGGACGGCTGACGAGTTGTTAACTTTGAATGTATATTTTTATTCTAGGTTGATTTTGCCTCAATCGCTGACAGATTATTTACCTTAGCAAGTGATAGGGAAATTCTTGGTCGAAATAGGAACCAGCTTTATGACTGGGTTAAAAGGTGAGTTGTAAAGTTTTTCAGTCAGTCAGGAACAAGTTATTCATATTTTTGAAAGTAGGGCCAAACTAGATCACTACAGATATGTTTAACATAGTTAAGTACATAACTTGTCAGCTAATTTAATTCTCACTGGTACAAAATAGATGTGTAAAATTTGTCATTATTATATAAAACCAGTTTACCAGGTCATGCTCAATAAAACTTGATATCTTCACATGTGAAAATATTTTCTTCTCTCTGATTCTACATAATAAATCGCGCCTTTCACACCAAAAAAAACTATTAAAGTGAAAAATGGCATTCGTTGGTTTTTTTGGTGTTTTATAATTTTTACAGGCTAAGGTGTTGAAAAAAACAAGAGGTAAGTTGATTGAATTTGATTTGTCTTTTTGTAATATCCTCTATTTATTCTCTCTACGAACGTTCTGATTCTTTTTTTTTTTTACTTGTTTTTACAGGCTAAGAAAGCAAACAAGAGGTAAGTTTATTGAATTTGACTTGTCTTTTGTAGTTTCAGTCTTCACGGACATTACTGAAAGGGTGAAAATGAATTTGCAGTGATGTCCAAGTTGTTTTTCCACTCAGGATTTGCTGCAGTTGCCAACAGGCTGTACAGAAACTTTTTTCAAAATCTTTCTTTCTTTTCCAAGGGCAGCAATATTAACTGTAGCTTATATTTTTTACCTAAGGAGTGAACTTGATTTATGTGTGCTTGGTTTTAACTAAAGAAACGTTTTGTTTTCTGGTCTAGGAGAATGCAAGGATGGAGAGCTTTTACAAGAAGGAGAAGCCTTACAAGGGAACACTGTGGGATCAAAGGGAAAGACTGCTTCACGTGAAACTTCAGACATCACAAATATTGAGGATAGCAGCAGAAGGAAAATATGTCCAGGGAAAAAGAAACAAAGAGAAGAAAGAAGCATGTTGAAGGAGAGGTTGAACAGGAAAATGATGTAGTCAGAAGTAATGTTGCTGAAGAAGAAAGGAAAAAGAGAAAGAGAAAAATTAAGGAACAAAATTTGACCGACATGTCTTCAAATGAACAAGCAGTTGTTGAAGAGGTTAAGGATGTTGAGCCCACAAAAAAGAAGAAGAAAAAGTCTCAAAACAATGAAGGAAATAAGGAAAAAAGACTGGGTGATGATAAGTTTAATGTTGAACAGTTGGTGATTGTTAATGGGCATGGCAACAAAAAAGTTAAACCGCAAGAAAGTACGTCACTAGTAAATGACATTGCCACTATTAATGGTGATACAACGTGCTCACCTGAAATTTCTGATCATCAAAAGTCAAATAATGTTGAGAAAAAGGTTTTGAAAAAAGCAACAAGTCCTGATGGAGAGCCATTTGCAAAATTCCAGAAGAATTTCACTCCGCCAGCATTTTTTAGAAAGTCTCTTCGAAAAACACCAAGAACAGAGCCACAGAAAAGCAAGACAAGTCAAGAAAAGGTAAGTATTCACAGCAAATAGCAGTTTTCATCAATTGCGTCTCGCCACAAGATGATGGGACATTGGAGTGTTGATACAACAAACTCCAATATAAAAAACTAACATTTCACAAATAAAAAAATATGTTTTTCTTTGCCCCATTTACTAGTAATATAATTTGTGGAATGAGAGCACAATATATACCTTTCCCATCTTATAAAAAGCGCAGTTCTTGCCCCTGTGGGTTCTTAGGGACCCCAAAACGTTTTTGGGAAGTGAGGCCTTCTCCTTTTTATATGCCTTGACGCTAACTTTGTCTTTAAAAGACAATTTGAGTTCTCCATGATGCAAAAAAGTGTTGACGTCCGTCGCTCAAAATTCCCCCAAAAATCAGGTTCTCAAAACCCTCCAAGGCAGTTAAAGTAAAAACAAATCAAAGGGGAGTTGCAGTGTTTGTGCCCTTTAAACAAGGTTCAATGTGTCTGGTTATTGTAATGTCAAGCCAATAAAAAATATTATTCTGGAAGAAATTTAAAGCACATGTTTGCAACAAAATGATGAAAATTAAAATATTTTCTTATTTTGCAAACCTCATCTTTGCTATTGAACAACAATAAGACTGTTGTGTCCAAATGTGAAGGAAACTAACTTTGAACCAGAAGTGGTGTTGCATCAATAACCAGTAATGAACGTCACACTAATGTCAACTACATTGCAGTAACACAAAGTTTGCTCAGTATATGATTAACCTAGTGTAATTTTTTTCTTAAGAATCAAACACCAACTTCCGTTCCAGCCAAGGGATCAAGGAAGAGAGTAAGAATTGAGATGTCTAAAAACACAGCACACACTACACAAGGTTTGCTTAAACCTATTCTATTTTTTTTTGCTTTATCAAATCATTTAAAATTTCCGAATTAGATTGGTTGAGCCTTGGGGTAAATTTTCCAGCATAAGACCCCACTTCTGGCTGCTTTCTACTGGTGCAAAATATTTTCATAATATTGAACTTTGGTATTTTTTTAATCTAACAGATTATCTACGCACTCTAAAACAAAGTCCTAACATTCCATTTGATGCGCAAAAGACACCAACGCAGGGATTGCTCAAGTCACCACCCTTGCCTAGAAGAACCCCACTATATGTCAAAGTAAAGAGGTCCACAGACATGCGACAGAAACAACAGAAACAATCTAAGTCACCAAAGAGACCGAAAGCAGCTGACTTCTTCTAACACTTGCACTTTTGCCTAATTCTGCAACAAAAGTTGTACAATCATGAATAAATAAATTTGCACCATGCAAAAAGTGCTGCTGAAGATTTCCTCAAAGTGTCAACGAGGTTGTGAAAAAGAGATCTTTGACCATCTTTCTTTCATTTGCTTTTGGCCATCTATAACAGTTTTCACAACAGACCGGGTTACTTGCTCAAGTACATCATACTTCTGTCTCTGCCTAAAAACCAGGGGTAGGGGTAGGGGTAGGGAGTGGAATCCCCACCCACCTTTCCCCCCCTGACATGCACAAACAGTTCATATGTCCATCGATAAAACACCATAAAATTGAAGAATGTGAAATGCCTCTGAAGTTTAATAAAGCTTTTTCAGGATGGTACAGTTAGTTTCTTTACAATCTGTCTTGCATCATCAGTAAAGACAAGTCATACAGGAAAATGGCTTGAAACAGTCTATAAGAGGTCTTAGTAAATTGGAATGAACATCACAACTGTAATCTACTTTGATAAGTGTCTTTCAATGGAGGGAACCTCAAATTGATTTCAGGGTATGTATTGCTAGTATTCTCTGTCATGTCAACATGTAATGGAAAAGTTATAAAAGCCAAAGGCAATACGCCGACTCTCTCTTAACGGACACCTCTGTAAAACGGACACCTAGAGTTGGTCCTTGCCTTTCTTTACTCCCTTTATTTGACTCTCTATAAGACGAACACCTCTCTAAGACGGACACTAATCTTAGTGCCGGTCCCAAAGGTGTCCGTCTTAGAGAGAGTTGACTATCACCAAGTTTTTTTAGGCTGTGCAGTTTTTTATGTGACTCACTGAGTTTGAAAGAAATTTTACACCTAAATTTATAGAGTGTGAGTTTAGTTTGGAGATGCCAGGTTGCTGCAGTTCCATGAAGAGACACCAACATGGCATGCTTTGTTCCTGGTAGACATTTTTTCCTTTTAGCTCAGTGATAAACCCTTTGTTGACCAAGCTTGTATGGCTGCATATTAGCTCCATTCGTTCAATTTTTTGGGGGAATTTCAATAAACAACAGGGCCGAGTTGTTCAAAGCTGGGTTAAGATAACCCAGGGTTAGTGCAAGATTTGAATTCAGATTTGAAAGCTTAAAAAGCATTTCAGTTTTAATTATTTTTCTCTACAAGCTGATGACTGGAAGCTCTAAAAATAACAGAGACAATTATCCGAGAAAATGCTTTTGAACACAAGAAAAAGAAACCAGGGTTAAATTTAACCCCGGGTTAGGCGGTAATCGGCCTTCGAACAACTGGGCCCAGAAGAGCTTGGCCAATACCCAGCCATGTTGGGCTTACACTTGGTCATTAATGCATAAATTATAACAAGGATGTTTTGGCAGCAGGGGAGGGGATGGATGAAAAGGAGAAAGGGACCAGTCCTCCCCACTCTTCTCTCGCCTTCCCCACCCTCCCCCCCCAAAAAAAAATGTTGAATAGCTGAGCTACATAGAGAAAGAAGAAGAGATTTTTGTTTAGTCTGGTTTTTTATCTACTTCAGTCCAGCTCATCCACTCAAACTCCTTTCTCAGCACATATTTTATCTTGAACATAGTGCATCAAATCTTTCAAAAAATACAGCCATTTTGATACACATTTATGCGTCTTGTCTGGTAATAGCCATCACACTAAGATTTGCTGCTTAGAGGACTTTGACTCTCAGTTCATTTATGGTAAACTAAGTCCTGGCAAGTTCCCATTATCTGAACATCTGTAAGCATACAGTGACTATGGCATGCCAAACTGCCAACAGCAAATAATACGAGAATCTCTCCCAGGGAGAATCAAGCTTCTGTGCAGTAATAACAAAATGGGATAATAATATATCAAACAAACAAAAATAATGCAGTAAATTTATCATAGCAAGTTTTTACAGAGTGCCACTATTCGAGCCACATATTGTCCGTCAGTCTATGAAAATATAAATAGTAGTGCAATCCTTATGAGCTGTCTTGTGGCACTAGAACTCCTGATGTCTTATCAGCTGTTTGCACTGCCTCCTCTGATGGGGCGTCTTTTTCTCCTTTGACATGGATGTTGTGTTTCTCTTTAAATGCTTTCAGTTCTTGTTCCTTTGCTGTTAATGAATCTTTTAACTTATTAATAAGACCGGAAATCTGAGGACAGAAAATTAACAAGTAGTAATACATAAATTCTAAGTTTGATTACCACTGTTATTTAATTTTTTTAAAATTTTATATTCTAACCAGATCAATTTCCTCACAAGTAAATGACAAAATCTTAGTAACATTCTGTTGAAAATATTGCAAGTTACAGATCAACTCTCATCTGGGGGTCAGGGGGGGGGGAGCTTTTCTACACGTCATGCCCATTTCATTACAAAAAGCTCAACCTCAGAAATAAGTTCCTCTATAACACCCAAAAGGTGTGAATTGCCAACTCGGAGTAGTGTTTACATTGTTCTTCGACCATGGCAGGATTAGCTCAGTTGGTAGAGCGCTTGACTGCAGAGCGGAAGGTCACAGGTTCGATTCCTGGGGTCAGACCTTTACTCAGGGTCTTCAAAAAAAACTGAGAAAGAAAAGGTACCCCCTTTGCACTGCAAGAAGCTAGACCTTCACGTGGCTCAGATGACTACATAAAATGGTGGTCCCATCTCCAGTTGGAGACATAAAAAAATACTGTCCTCAATAAGTACTCTCTGTGCTAAATACCTTGACACTGACAAATAAAGTGCATTTTTTTCAGCCATACATATTTGCCATTTTTACTGCTCCAGCTTTAAAAGATACAGGACTTCCAATACCCAAAATCTCTGCTGTAAGTCCTTCCACTAGGAAGTTTTGGGACACCTCACGACTTTTTCCCAGTTCAGTGTGCAAAGAAAGTAGTGTCCGATAGCCCGGGGCTAGTGACTTTTGGTATCAGGCTAGTGTGCATTCTGTTTGTAACTTGTCCGATGGGCAAGTGATGTTTTTTGAGGAATTCAAATAACAGAAGAACTGTGAAATCAATTCTGCTCGTCAGAAAGCTTTTGGGGCTAGTAAATGCTAGCTTCAGCTCGCCCAAGTGGCAAGCTGTAAAAATGATTTTCTTTGCACCCTGTCTCATTTCTCACTGTTTTTCCCAGCTCTGGGTTCAGAATCTCAAAATTTGTACCTTTTCGAGGTTGGCAAGTCTGGTTTTAACCTGGAGCTCACCTGTTGTTTATTATTTTCCAGTGCTGGAAGTACATCTTTTACTGTTCTCTCAACTAATACTCCACCAATCATTCGAAAGCAGCGCCTCTCAGGCTCCACGCCTTTAAGTGCCTCTATGACGGTACTACAAATAAACAGGGGAAACATGATTTTGTTCCAAACAAACTCCTTCATCAGTTCAATTAGGAACCCTGGGAGGCATAGGATCTAGCTAATGATAGAGGTGTTAAGCAATGGGTTCAGACACTCTCCGT